GGGGGGGACTGCAAGACTAAAGCAGCCTCAAACCATGCCTCTCTGTAACCTTTATTGAGAAAGGCCAGGAAGTAAATCATAAAGAGAATTCTTTTGTAAATGAAGCCGGGTTTTTCCTCTATTATCAACCTTATGCTTAGCTCAGGAAGGAAGTAGTTTACAAGAGCATAGACTCTAACATTCCCTCTGCAGGAGGCCCTAGCTGCTTGTTGTCTGCAGAAAGCAACTCATTTCTTGTGATTTGTCACAAGAGAAATTCCAGCTTGTATTTGTGTTTTTTTTCAATTCCTGATTAAGCATTTAGTGTAACGTATAACTTAATATTTGGCTTCCCACATCTTCCTGTGCCATCTGCAGCCTCAAAACCTGCAGGAGGATCAGCTAGGAGTCAGTTCTGACTCCACAGCAATGAGCTGAGCTCTCTGACTGTTTAAAAATAGCCAGGAGGTCATATCTTCTGAGATACACATGCGCACATTTGAACCTTTTTACTAATAGCCACATTTATACTATAAAGGGACTCCTCCTGTCAGAAAAGACTCTTTTTTTCTCAGTTTTTACCAAGAGAATGGGCAGCTTAATGAATTTGGTCCAGCAGACATTCAGCCATATGCAAGGTGGGTCCTGATGCTGGCTTCACACCAGGTCCCTGGGGAAAATGAAGCACCAGTGACAGCAGCTCCCATTCCCACCCGTTGGACTGAGGAGTGGTATGTCTTAGCATGGGGCCAGTTTTACAGGACTATAAAGCTGCAATTCTGAAGCAACAAAGGAATCTATCTTAGGAGTCACGGCTCTGGCCTCGCTACTGGACTGAAAGTCTTGAGTCAATACAACCCAAGCTACAGCTGCACATCTTAGAGCTTCTAGAATCTAACCAATGTCCTCCCAGGCTGGATAGTTAGATACCTTCCACGAACTGGATGGATAAGTTTATTGCAGTAACAGGAATCTATTAGATTAGAAGCCTGTGTGCTCTGTGGGGAATTGAACATTCTGGTAGATTTTGATTTGAATGTTTAGCCTGTACTTTTCAAGATGACAGAGGAGGCTAGCTAATCCTCCACCTCCTCTTCATTGCTGTCAAGTTGAACTGAGCCATAGCTGACCCTCCACTGATTTTCCAAAGTGGTAAATCACCTGGGAGGAGATTGCCCATCTTTCTCCCTCACAGAAACTTGTGGATTTGGACCACCAGAGAGGGTTGCCTTTGAGTTAACAGCACAGCTCTCTAAGGCTGATGATGGTTTCTACTACTGAAGGTTAAAACCGTGTGGTTGAGTCTTCTCTACAGATGCCTTTATATAAGGAAAGGGAGACAGCTCCTTTGGGCTGGCTCCCATTTTCCATGGGGTTGCAAAATTAGGGCAAGCAGTTACCGTGGTTGGCGGCTAATTGGAAAAAAGTTTGAAGGTTCTAGTCTACTCCCAGCATCTGAGGAGATTGAGGTTGAAAGCCTTTGTAGCCCTTCTTCCATCAATTGAGGGCTTTCCTCTATCCATTCCCCTTGTCTGCTAAGCCCCAGCACCTAAGCTCCAGCAATGGACTTGAGACTTGATGGCCAGGAAGGCAGTGAGTGCCACCATGAGCTCTCCATGCAATTCTTCAAAACAAATCCTGGAACTAGAAGAGGAGTGGGAATGATTCCGAGAGTCCTGGTGGGTCCTATCAGACTGGCACTTGCTGTTGTCTGTCATCTAGACGGAAAGAACAAGGAACAATTTTGATGCAATAAGTTGTCAGCAGAATAAAATAAAAACAGCTCAGCAATAGTAACAACAATAATGCAGCCAGGTGGAAATCTGAACCTGCAGATGCCTCTAAAAAGCAATGCCACAGATAACGAGGCTGCAGAGACTTCAAGTGCATTGCCAGGTAGACGAGTCAGCATGCCTTGTGTGGATGAGAATGCTTTTAGTTTCCATGAAACTAAAATGAAATCCAGGGACTCATGATTTGTAAAACAACTCCCCTGCTTCCTGCAACCTCCCACTGTTTCTCTGATCACATCAAGGTGTGAAATGCTTTTCCTTGCTGAAGAAGTAAGTAGTAGCCCAGTGCCAGCTGGCAGAAAGTTACAGACACAGGAAGAGAAAGCGTTATTTCTCAGAGAATGCTCTGATGGCGTCGTCCATGAGGAGTTGCACTGCTAACCCAAAGGCCGTGTGTCTCTGCTGGTTCGAATTTCGAATCCACCAGTCACTTCACAGGAGAAAGATGGACAGTTTCCTTCCATGTGATTTTCGGAAAACCTGCTGGAGGATCAGGTATGAGTCGGCTTCAGTCCTGACTCGACTGCTATGAGTTATTTATCAGAAGGGCGCCTTGGTGGCATAGCCTGCAGGGAGCTGCATTATTAACTCAAACGCTGTGCTTCTCCGGCACTTCCAATCCACCAGCAGCCCCGTGGGAGAAACACAGGCAATCACCTCCTGTGTGATTTACCGCCTCAGAAATCCAGCCGAGGGTCAGCTATGACTCAGTTCAGACCATGGCAATGAGTGAGCTGCCAGGAGCCCCTCACGTGCAAGTGATGACGTGACGTATTCAGTTACTGACTCCTTCCAGAAACTTCTTGGAAGAAAGGTCTGGCAATCACCACTACGGGGCAGTTGTACCCTGCTCATATACAACTGTCTTGTATAGGAAGTAGCTAGATGGCCAGTGACAACAAAGGTTAACAAGAACTCAGTGGAGGCTCAGGGCTCACAAGGTTTCCTTCTCACATACATGTGCGTGTGTTAAACAGCTGCTTCCTTTTGTCACAGACAAGGTCATCACGCCGGGAGTCTGAGGACTCTACTTGATGGCAACCGACAAGGGTCCTGGGAGCGAGCGGCTCTTTCTGACCTCTTTTATGGCTCTCCTTCTAGGTCCTTGCAGCTGAAGGAGAAATGAACGCGTCCAAGTCCCTTAAGTCTGCTTCCATGGTGCTGGCAGAGTCTCCCATCGCCCTGCAGCTGCGCTACCTGCAAACCTTGACCACGGTAGCCACAGAGAAGAACTCCACGATCGTGTTTCCTCTGCCCATGAATATCCTGGAGGGCATCGGAGGCATTAGTTATGACAATGACAGGAAGGTTCCTAACAGAGCCTGAAGTCACCGCACGTAGCTGACCATTGTGTAGGAGTCCTGTCCATCTGCAGCAAGCACACAGCTTTTAGAAGAGGCAAGAACACCACATGCAGCGTAACTCATGGCTGGGTTAGCAATAGGAAAATGCCAGAGGGGCAAAAAGGCACAAAACAGCCATAAATGAGGGCAGTGCCTAACTGTTATCTGTAAGAGTATAATTATCTTTGCGATATTTTCATTAGTTAAAATAATCTGACTTACAGAAGCTTGGTATGCATTAGGGAAAGAAGAGAAATCTCTTTTGTGATAGTGACAGAGATTTTAGAATGACTTTTTAAATTACTTTAAGAAGTATGTCAAATAGTTTCTAAACTGATAGTTTAGAATAGTTTCTTAACTGAAGGCTCATATTTCAACGAGATGTTTACCTTAGAGTCAGAAAATAATGTTTTCCCTAAAGCACCTCAAATTAAAAAAAAACAAACCACAAACCAAAACAAAACACAGGTCCATGATGATTTGACTTATGACTGATGTCGATGAGAGGGAGGTTACCAAAGTCCCCAGCTGCAGACTCCTCACTCAGTGCACAGGCTTGGCTCTGGATGGTTGTACCCTGGGAGGTGGCCCAAGGGGGACACTGGCCAGTGCCTCACCCTGGAGCTGTGGTTAAAGGGCCCCAGAACACAAGAGGACAGCAGATACCAGCAGTCCATTCCTTACCGTGAGAATGCTCATAAAGGTCCCAGCCTTTGACATGACTGAGGAAAATCAACCCATGGATTTCATCTTTTCACACTTTTGTTAGTCCCCAAAGACACAGGCAATTGAGAATAATTTGTAAAAACCAAAGTCTTGTTAAAAATAAAGAAGCAGTGTGATGTGAATGTTCAAATAAGCATTTGGGTGAAAGTTATTTTATTATCTTTTCATAAACAGAGAATTTTTAAAGCTACCATTTTATTTCATGTCTGTTAGGTGTTAACACTGTTCTTCATAGAGTTTTCGGATGCCTGCTATTTCAGAAGTGGATGGACAATCCTGCTTTTTAGACTGTCCTACTCTAGGAGTCCCACGAAAACCTGACCACTATGGGTGACTCCTCTGGCATTTGACACACTGGGGCACAGCTTTCATCCTCAAAGCAACACACAAATTACCGCAGTACAGCAAACTGACAGACAAATGCTGTACTAGTTAGCACAATGATACACAAGGAAGAATACAGATACCTAAGCTACAAAGTAATTCTTAATATGCAGATCAAACCCCCAATAAAACAAAGTGACAGGTAAGTCTCACAGTGAAGGAGGCTCCATGTCTGAGAAGCAGATACCAGCTCCAGGGAAGGTTTTCTTGCCCTGGTGGTTCTGCAGGAAGGTCCTTGTCTCTGATCTTCTGCTCCTGGACCATCTTCCTGTGATTTAATTTCTCTGTTCTTACAATAAATCAGGTACATAAAATATCAAGGAGCAGGGCCATCTGAGAGCAGTGGCAACATGACAGGGTGGGTCCATGAGCCTTGCAGCTGAGGTGTACAGCTGGCGTACAGATGTACAACAGAATAATGTCCCAGGTGAGGATAATGTCTAGGTTGGATCCTATAATGCTGGTGCTCCACACCAAAACAGAGACAAGATGTAAAATGCTTTCTTCCATTGCCACTGTATATGCTTGCTCTAAGCCCATGATCTTTGAGTAAGACCTCATGGAATTCAAAAGGTCAGGAGACTCCAAGGCTTAGAGAGGAACATCACCCTTGGAAGGGTTGAAGGATGGCAAAGAAGATGAATACCCTCAACCAAGTCACACCGTGACTGCAGTATGGTCTTGAATATATCATAAATTGTGAGGATGGCAACAGGATAGAACAGAGTTCAGATCTCTTGTTCATAAAGTCACTATGAGTCACACTCAACTCAATGGCACCTGACAACAGCAGCAGCAACAACAACAACAACGTGTTACACAGGGAGCTCTGGTGGTTTAATGGGAAGGAACTGTGGCACCAGCCTGAAGGATGGGGTTCAAGGTCACCAGTGGCTCCATGGAAGAAAGATGGGCAATCTCCTTCTAGGTAATTTATTGCCTCTAAAATCTAGCTAGAGGGTCAGCTTTGAGTTGATTCCAACTCGATTGTACCTACCAACAACAGTATGTGCTATGCTGAAGTTGCCCCTTTATGTATGCTAAAAAAATAACCTTATTTTACAGAGGAGAAAGTGATGTTAGGTGCTTAGATAACACACACAGGTGCTTTGTTTAGTAAATTTCGAGCTAGCTTGAAATCAGGTGTGACTCTTCAACATCATGGAGGTTTTGGGGAAAGCAAAGATGTGATAGAACAACAACAACAATTCTCCCCATTTTACCTGTAGCATCACTGTATCTAGGACTGGGAAAGCCAAGCGCACGTATGCGCACACCCCCACACGCACATAAACCCCCCTGCCATCAAGTTGTACCAGTTCTTACTGACCTTCTATTGTGCTGCCACGGCTGTAAATCTTGATTAGAGGAGACGGTTCATCAAAGTAGGTCAAAAGAACTACTGTAGGTCACAGTAAATCAAAGAACTCCTGGGGAATTTGGACTGCCAGAATTTCAGTTAGCACCTCAAAATGCAATACATGAAACCACCAGAGTCCCTCGTATCTTTCCACATAACCCCATCATCCTACATCCCCCATCTTTGCATGCATCAGTGCCACCTACTGCCCTCAGACACAGCCTACTGTCAACACAGAGATGGTGGTGTTAGCTGCTGTCCAGTCCACCGCTGGGTCACGGTGACCCCATGACAAAGGGAATGAACACTGCTCGGTCCCACACCATCCCCATGATTGGCTGTTGATGGATTATTATGGTCTGGAGGATTTGCATTGGTTGATTTTCAGGAGGAGAGGACCATTTTTTTTCTCCCTGGTATGAATTAATTCCAACTTGATGATAGTGAGATGATGATGATGGTGATGATGATGAGTCTATCTTAGACTGAGTTCTTCTCAAATATTTTTATCATCACAGCAACACTCAAGTCTCCACAGAGAGTTGAATGGTGGCTGCACCTGAGATGCATCAACTGGGACTTGAGTTTCCCACTAACGGTGAGAATTCCATCATGGGAACCACAATACCATTACCTACATATGAATGACATTGCTTTTCTTTAAATGGGGATTGCATTTTATCTTTGGGTATATAAACAACTTTCTCATAAAATTTTTGGGCAATTCATAGCCCACATCTTTCAAATCTTGAAATAAAACATGATTCTAACACTCATTTGAAAAAAAAAAACAAACACAAAACAACCCAGACTTGATTTCTAGAGCAATTTTTGAAGCCTTCTGTTCATTTGATCCCAGCATATGCTGATCTTCCACCAAGTGTTCAACCTTGACTGGAAGAGATTGCTCATCCGATGGGTTTGAACTGCCTACCTTTTGGTTATCAACCCGACACTTAATCTACTACTTGTGACCTACTAGTTCTCTCTTGTGCTGGAGAACTCTGGTGGCTTAGAGGCAAGGAGCTGCACTGCCAACCCAAAGGCACGTGGTTCAAATCTACCAGCTGCTTCAAGGGAGAAAGATTGGCCATCTCCTCCTGTGTGATTTACAACCTCTGAAAACCTGCTGTAAGTTGGTTCTAGCACGATATTCCAGAACAATCACTCTTCATTGTGCAGAGAGTAGAGAGTTTAATATAACTTCTGCCTTCATTTTCTCCCTACTCTCCCCACACCATTTCTCTTATGACTAACATTTGACTTGATGTAGACCGTTTGTTACAACTCATGAATCTGAATTGATAGATTGCTCCTGTGGTGATACGATGCTGCTGTATTGTACCATTAGCTAAAATTCATATTTTGTTAGAGTTTACCTTTTGTGTTGTATCATTATATGGATTTATATAAATGCCTAGTGTCACGTGCCTAATATGGCATCATACAAAGGACTTTCATTATCCACAACTACGACATCATATAAAATCATTTCGTTGCTCTTGAAATGTACTGGGCCCCACTTATTTATCCTTCTTTGCTCCCCAAGGCAACCCTTCCTCTTTTTACTATCTCCATAGTTGTGATTTTACAGAATGCCATGTGGTTGGAGTTCTTCAGCATATAGCCTTTTCACTTTCTAACTTGCCTTTAAGGTGCCCCCACGTATTTTCATTGCTTGATTATGTTATTTCATTGATGAATAATAGTCCTTTGTATGGGTGCACCAGCTTCTCTAGAACTCATTCTGAATTCTTTTAAGAATGAATTATCTTTTGCTTTGCATTTTTAGTTAAAATTTGATGGCACTTTTCAGTGATGGAGGGATGCAGTGGTTGGGTGTATGGTGTAAATGAGATGGAAACACTTGTGAGATCGAAAAGATACTGATCCAATTTATTTATTTATTTTTAAACAAAAACCAAAACAACCCAATAACTCATTGCTGTTGAGTCAGATCCAATTCATTGCTGATTCTCTGTTGGGTTTCTGAGGCTATAAATTGCACTGGCAGAGACGTCCTATCTTTCTAGTAATAAGCCATTGATGGATTGGAAAGATCAGAGGGGCTTGGCCTTTTAGGTTAGCAGCAGAAATACCTGTGGCCCAAACCAACAGAGCTCATTTAATACAATTGTTGTCAGGTGCCATAGAGTTGACTACAACTCACTATGACCCCGTGAACAACAGATCTGAACCTGTCCTACACTGAACCATCCCTGATGTGTTCAAGCCCATTTTGACAGTCTCTATGTCAACCCATCTGGTTGATGGTTGAGGGGCTCCCTCTCTTTCACTGTCCCTCCACCTTACCAAGCATGATATTCCTTTTCAAGTAATATCCCCTCCCAACAACATGCCCAAAATAAGGATCTCTCTCATCCTTCTTGTTAAATCTACTCCTCCTCCTACCCTACTCCTACACATTCAGTACTCAAGCTAAAACCTGGAAACACTTTAAGACATTTTCCCTCTCACTCATCTTTCACTGCCATTTAGTAACCATCTCAGAG